TCGCCAAGTTGCCCAGGCAGGTCTCGAACCCGCGGGCTCAGGCAATCCACTCACCTCAGCCTCCCAAAGGCGCGGGATTACAGGCTGAGCCACCGAGCCCGGCTGGCCAGGTTTTTTTAAATGATATATCTGAACATTTCCCCTCACTAGATTGTAAAATTCAGTTATTGTTTTTTGATCATTGGGTCTAGCCAGTGACTGACATTTTAGGCAGCTAAAAAATGTATATAAATATATTACACACATTTATTTATTACTTATTTATTTATTTAGAGTCAGAGTCTCACGGCCCCTGCAGCCTCTACCTACTGGGCTCAGGCGATCCTTCTGCCTCAGCCTTCCAAGTAGCTGGAACTACAGGCACGTGCCACCACGCCTGGCTAATTTTTTGATTTATTGTAGAGATTAGTTTCCCCCCCACGTTGCCCAGACTGGTCTCCAACCCGTAGGCTCAGGCATTTCTCTCTCCTCCGCCTCCTAAAGGGATTATAGTCATGAGCCACCGTGCCTGGCCTAAAATATATTTTTATATGATCGAACCAGTAAAAGAGTAAACTGGAAAAGAGAATATTTTCCATTACACCCTTTCAGAGAATCTTTGTGTTAAAAGGACGATAACTCAGTTTAAAAATACAAACGTGATGTAACCAAGTCGACAACATACATTTGAACAATATAGACAGAGAAGCAGGTCTAACTGTTCTTCACCTGGAGAGATCTTTTTAAAACCTGCTCTGCGAAATTTGATTGTAAGCATTTCAGTTCCCGGAATGGACACATTTTTAACTCCTTCTACACGGGTTTATCTTTCACCCTGGGTGACAGGAATTGGACAAGGTATAAATAACAGAGGACGCCCGCAGCAGTGCAGTGCCTAGGCGCTGGGTGAGCCCTCGACACACGCTTTTCCTACTCCCAGCTTTATCTTCATGTTGCATTTCAAGGCTTGCGAATTCGGAAGACCCCAAGGAAATGGTCGTTTGAGGATTGCAATTGGCCAATACAACGTCCTGGAGACTCCGATGGCCCCATTAACCCACGACGCTCACACCCAAAGGAAAGAGGCGGAGTGGGGAGGGGGAGAAAGGGGCGGTGCAGAAG